GCAACCCACCCAATTCCAGGACCTGTCCTTAAAAATGGCAGGATGTAGTTTAGTATGCATTCCCTAGTCCTAATCCAATACACTTTTTTTTCTTTTAATCTTACCATGGTCTTTTAGGTTTTCAAGGGAAACAAGTTACCAGGGTAATTCCATTAGAGGCACTGAAGGTATGCCCAAGAAGAGCCCACACTTCAATATGTCCATTTCCTTACAGGGCTATTTTTCAGCTAAGCACGCTGGCTTTTGGAAGTAATTTAATGCACTCCCAGCCCCAAAAACATACAAAGGCAGAAGTATAAATCCACTGGAGTAAGAATGCAGGGACTGTTTTAGTCTTTTTTTTTTTCTTTTTTTTTTTTTCTTTTTTTTTTTTTTTTTTTTCCATCGCAATATCCTTACAGTGTTTCCAGAATACACAGCTCTTTTCCTCGGAGGGAAGATGTGTTGCTATCCATGTTGTGCTATTTCACACCCTTTCTCCAACAGATGGCACAGATCCTCACCTGTTTAGAAAGAGAAGTTTGAAACAGTTTTGCATCTTAAAAATAGATCCTAGCTATCAAATGGATTAGTGATTCCAGAGGACAGGTTGTTTTTTTTCTAAGTTTCATCCCCTATTTTTCCTCATTATTGGCATGCGATGTTAACCCGTGTTCTGCTCAGGCTGTAAGTATGGAACTGCTGTGGGTCAGCCTGCTAGACAGGATAGACAAGCTGATTTGTAATTCCTGCCAATACCAGGCACAGTACAGGTGCTTGGATATATTGATATGACTGCCCACCCGTACATGTGAAGATATATGTCATATAAAAATAGAAAGAAAACATTATGTTTGCATATAGAAATTAGCCAGAACTGAATCTAGGATTCAAAGATCATTGAAATCCAGAAGTAGAACCAAATGCTACAGCTAATTCCTCTTTATATAAAGGACTATGCTAGAATCTGAATCCTGGGGCTGAGGGAAGCCTGGCCACTTTCTGCCTTCTGCTGCCTTTGAAGAGCATCATGACTGTAAAAAGAAGGGGGGTTAAATTCTCCTGTGCCTGCACAGCTGTAGCAACCTCCTCCTGTGATTTTCATTCCATGAATTCCTTCAAGTTTCTCTTCAAGAATATACTTCTGTGTGATATACAGCCAGCGAACAGCTATATTGTTGCAGCCAAGCCCAGAAACTTTCAGCTATCCGTTGCCCAATCTGTGAGTGGTTTGAAGCCAAATGGGGACAGGATTCAAGACTGAGGAGGAGTCAGAGAACCAGTAAATACGAGGCATGGCTGACCTTTAGTAAAAGCAGAAGAGTGGGGGCTAAACCTGGAATTAACGCAGACTTTTGCAGATCTGTGTGGACTGCCTAGAAAAAAAAAACATTTTAAGGCATTTTTTCTCTCTCGGTTGTAGCAGTAGAGAACAATAATGCTCTGGAGAGCAATGCAGTCACAGTGTTATAACTGAGAAAAGAACCAGCTTACAGCCCTTTACGATTTCTGTTTTAGAAGAGTATTTTTCTTACCATTAGCGTGTAGAGACTCATTTAATGTAATCGTGGAAGAGCTCTGACTGGGCAAGCCAGGCTTCAATAAACAATTCTATTCCTTTCTCATTTCATTCTTCGTCAATAGTGTTAGGAAGAAACACATACTGACTTTCCACAAGTTTGCCCTTCTCCAAAACTGTCACCTGATTTCCTCTAACTCCTTCTGTCAGCGGGGGCATATCACAAGTTCACTGGCACATGCTCCTCCCAGCGTAGGAATGAAACACTTCTTATTTTTCACATTTAATTCAGAATTTTTGTTGCTGTTGTTGCCATCCAGTTTGTCAGCCAAGCATAATCTCCTGGCAGGAGGAGACAGAAAACAAGATAAAGAGAAGCAATATACTTTGGTTGTAGCTCTTAAACTTTTTGATTCAAGCGACATCACCCGGTCCTACGGCCAGTGAAAATAAGAGAAGTCCAAAAGCATAACACATTAAGTCTTTGGCTCTCGGTCTCTTGGACGCTCAGGCTCTTATCCCCTTTCTCGGATTGCAGTTTCGGGACTCTCCTTGCTCCAGGATCATTAGCCGGGAACAGGCTGAGCCTTGGTAATCAGGTGGTGAGCAGTTTACTGTGTATCACTCATTTGTATATTTGTATACATTACTATTATCATTATTACGATCATTATTATTTTCAATTTTATTGCAGTTTAGTTATTAAATTGTTCTCATCTCAACCCACGAGTGTCTTTTCCCTTTAGCCCTCTAATTCTCTCCCCTATACCCAGCAGGGAGGAGGATGGCCGAGTGGTTGTTGTGGCATTTTGCTGCTAGCCAAACTGCAACAGCTAGGCAGAACACAACTTCAGGATCTGAGTCCTTCTTGGTGAGAGTACTAAATCTTTGCATCAGATCCCCGGCCGTCACATCCACCTACTTCTGTGAGCTGGTTTGGGCACTGTAAGAATTTGGAGGTCCTACAAATTCCAGATGACTTATCCACAAGTCATTACTGATGGGAAACGTTCCCCTGTCCCTTCTCCCCAACTTCTTCTAGAGATCATCTCTAGTATTTAGCCACAAGTGAATAGGGAATGATTTAGTGAAAGAGCACTGATTAAAGACCATGAGGAAATCAAAGTCTCTCCATTGGACAACATGGCCAAAGGGAGAATCTTACGCTGCTGTCAAACAGTGCAGTCAAGAAAAGCCTCTGCTAAGTGTGAGACCTGGACATTATTCTTCACCCTGAAGAGCTACAGAGGAGTTGTTTTGCCACAGAAGTATGTAAACGGATGTAAACCAGAAGTTGTCCTGAGGTTTTGATAGGTCTTTGAAATAATCCGCATGCAAAAATGTTTTTAAAATTATGTTTCAGGTTTTCATCTGTTCAGAATACAAGGTGGGAGAGAACTCCCCTGTACATTTAATTGCAGTGGTTCATGTACAATAATAGCAGCACTGGATATACTAAGGAAAAAAAAAATCTTGTTATTTATGTAGTAATTGAATTTTGTGCAAATTCTGCCTTTCAGTGTGCATGAAGAGTCCCAAGTGAGAGTCACATGCAAACAGACAAGGACAGTAGAGAGTTCCTAGAGTGTGACACAGATGAAGCAACAAGGAATCTAAATAATGTCAGACATGGGTATGTAGGTTAAAAAAAGAAACCATGGTTTATTTAAATGTGTAAAGTACTTGGGAGGGAAAAAGATTACATTGTACTATGGCAATACAGACAGCACATACCTTAACAAACTCATCCATCATAATGAATTCAGGCTACTCTTTCCAGCCTCCTAATCCACCCAGTCACACAGATCTTTGGGAGAGGCTCGCTGTCTACTTTTCTAGGGGACTCCACACTACAGATTAATTTCTGTCAGAATTTGCTGTCCTGTTTCTGTATGTCAGACTCAGGAGCAGAGCATCGTCCTCCCACCAGGGGAGACAGGCGAAATACGGCAAAATTTCTCATGCAGTAAGGCCCTCTGTCACGGGTTAAGTAGAAGTACAGTGATGGAACATGTGGTCCTAGGACAAATTACCAGGCTGTCTGCTTTAACCTTATCCCAGATGTGGCTTGTGACTCGGATGGGAAGCCTAAAGCAGCAGAGACTGAGAGATATTATGATAGTTATAAAATGCCATTTCCAGACACAGATCTTTATTTCAGGTTCTTCTCAATCCAGTCTTTGAAAGGAAGAGCTTTGGTGTAACCACTGTAGAGTTCTAGGCTGCAAGTTTTATCATAACCCCAGCTCACCAATCCCATGAGGTACCACCTTAGCTCAGGAGATGCTTTTCCTGGCAAAGATATGGCTGCAATCCCACCAGTCTCAGCAGGGCAGATATTAGAAAAGACTGTGTGATCTTGTTCGGCACAGAACATGCTGTCAGTGATGCTGACTTGTATCCCATTCTCCTCATACTGTTGCTCACACAACAGTGAATCCACCATCCGAACAACTCCCATGCGGATCGTGTCATTCTTGTATCCAGGATCTTTAATGTCAGCCAATACCTTCCAGCCAGTAACCATTATTTTTAAATCCTCTGTGGATGAAGTCAAGTCGTGGGAAGATGACAAACAAATAGGTTGAACACGACTGCTGATTCTGGCTTTGTCCAAGAGTTTTATGATAGCTATGTCAGAATCAAGTAATATAGGGTCATAATTGGGATGCACTATGATGGCAGAAATCTGGGGAGGAAGAACAGAGTAGGAAGAATTGTAGAGTTAACAGCAATGGCAAGTCAGCAGTACTTTTCTATACTACTATAATACATGCTAGTGTATTTTGCATACTTCTCCCCTACTCTACACTCCCAAAGTGCTCACTCAAATGAGAAACATGCAACGAGTTCAATCATCTTCTGACTTTTTTTTTTTCTTGAGTTTCAGGACAGTTTTCATTGCATGAAACTCTTCCTAATGAAAAGTAGTCAAGGGCATTTTCAGCAAAATGGGGAGCTAATGTGCCGTTCAAGTTTTTCCACTGTTTACTGAAAAGATTTTACCTGCCATGTCATGTTCAGCATGTAGAATTTGGAGGCGAGTGCGGATTTTGAATTAAAGTGTTATCTTAGTGAAATTCAACCATCTTCCCACCAAGAAAGAATCCTAGCGATATATTAGATAATAAAAAGCCAAATCTTTACTGCTAGTTACCTTGATGAAACACCACAAAAACGAATAGGATTCCTATAAGGAAATATTGTAAAAAATAATATATTTCCGTACAGGAGAAGTCTGAAAAAGCTGGAATTAGAGAAAGAAACTACAAATAGCAGGCGGGCAAGAAGAATCAAATTAACTATGATTTATTGAATAAAATCAATTAATTAATTCACATGCCCTCCCACTCCAGAAAAAGACACACACAGCCAAAAATTGTTGTATTTCTCCTCATTTTGACTTCAACCTCTCTAGTTCTACTTGAAAAAAACAGACCACTCTGGTGAGCCTGAGGTGCTATTTTTTGAGCTGGAGTCAGGCATAAACTTCGAGTTTAGAGCTGTAGAGCCTTGGGCCTGAGATGTGAAATGTGTTCATGGCGTCAAAGTAGGATCTAGAGCACAAGTGGTTGCCTCACAAATTATGCTAATCACTTCTGACAGTATCTGGCATCTCTTCTACTTTCTTTCTGGCAATATCACTCAAGACATTATGGAACCTGAGCTATTTTCTTAGTGATCTGTGTTAAGGGGGTGAATATATGAGTTGGACAATGTCAGGGGAATTTAATGAACTACAGCATGTGCCCTCCTTGTGCCATGTCAGTTCTGTCAGTTGAGTCTCTAGATATGCATTTCAAAGAACAGTGTGTAAAACAACATATTGCTCAATGGATAACCTTCTCCCCATACAAGACAGATCAGCATCTGGCTGTGCTCATTATTTTCTGCTCCCAGCAGACTTACCCGCAAGTTCTGGATGGTCTTTTCATCCCTGTCATCATCTCTGTAGAATTTCCCCAGAACCACCTTGAGCTCTGCTGCCTTGAGCACGATGGTCTTGCCCAGGTCAGTGACGCAGTGAGCTGCCACCACCACAGTGCGCTCATTCACCAGGGCCCCGCTGCAGATCAGGATCCAGGCCCCTTTCCGGAGACTGTTCTCCTTCACCCCATTGGCCGCCCGATAGATTGCTGCTTGCCAGGGCCACCTGGTAGAGGTCACTGTCTTCTGAAGGGTGATGTTTTCTGCTTTTCCACAGACTGAGGAAACATGAACCAAGAATGAGGTAACACCTTTTCCCCAGCAAAGAATCTGAATATCACTCTTGATTCCTGCTTAGGATGTGCCTAAAGAAACCAAACTGCAATGGTTAGCATGTGGGACAGCTTTCTAATTAACCTCTGTCTCCATCTTGCAAAATTAAAAATATAAGAGTATTTTAAGCTTTTTAAAAAAAACTTTCAATTTTTCCATTATTATCTGAATTCCTGGCTGAAGTAGAAATGTGGATTTAGCACTTGAGCAGGTGAATTTTCCTGACAACCTTATCCAGCTGCACTGTGATGAGATGACTGCATAAAGAAAAGGAAAGAACACCCCTGATTCTTGCACCACAAAGGCAGCAGTGCACTAAAACTCACCCTAGGCAGTCACAGAATAATTATGAGGTCCTCATAATTGACACTGCATTTGACACCGTCTTCCACAGTATCCT